GGCCTCTAACTCTTGTAGGGCCCCCGTCCAGCGTCCTGGTTCTCGGGGCACCAGGATTATGGGAAATGGTGGAGACTCAAGACACCTCTAGGACCAAAACCAGCCCAGCCCAGCCAGGCCAGGGGGGGTGTCGGTGTCTAATGTAACAGCCTAAGAGACTGAGACCAGAGTAAAGAAAGCTTGTGAAGATGCGTGTGTGCTGCATCTTGAAAACAGCCCTTACGGAATCAATACCGAGAGCGCGGCAGATAAACCTAAAACCTTGGTCTGCTCTTAGTCTTGATTCTGAGCATTAGTGTGCTTCCAGAAGAGAACCGGCCGTGCCGAGGCAGAGGAGGATACGAGTATAGCAGAAACTAAAGAGAGTCAGACCGCAGACAACCAAGGTCACAAGGTCACAAGTTCACAAGTTCACAAAATCACGATTCATCATCAAGACTGGTTGACCTCAACCGGCAAATAGGAAAAATAACCATCATCCTCTTGGCTATCCTATCCTATTCACCCATTCACCCCTGGATGTGATGTAAGAGAGCGGATCCTTCTCGTCCAATGTCAAGATAGAATATCTACCGAAGGGGTAATGATCCTAGTCTAAGATATCGTAGTGTCGCAATTGGACGGGACTTTGATGTCTAGTTCTCGGGGAACCTCCAATGCAGTAGAGATAATCAATGTTATGGTTGTCTCAGAGCAAACAAGCCGTTGAAACTGAGATTAAATCGAGACTTTTCGGAAATTTAACCCGCAACCTCAATATGGAAGGGAAGGGCACTACGGCTAGTCAGATGACTGGTTGTTTGCTCGCTTTCTTTGTCGTGCTTCCAGCCGTCTCTTACATATCGTATCACCAACCACCTCACCCTCATCCTCATCCTCACTTTGAAGAGACACTGCCTTCGGCATATCTCGAATATTGATGCCGCGAAGCTAATGCTCAGCCTCAAACATCGCTTCGCGGATCCAATCAACCTGTTACAAAATCAAGAGACTCACGGTCCTTCAAATCCTCAAACCTCCGTACTTTCCATGAGCTAGAACTCTAGTCTTCAACTTCTAGAGTTATGATCCTACTCGGAAAGGCCCGAATCGCTCAATAGTCCTGTCCGTGCTGAAGAAGATCACCATAAAGCGTCATAACCCCAGATACTCAAAATAGGGCTTGGAGCTCAGCAGGGGATTAATGTAGAAATGTCAGATTCTAGAGCCAACACCCAGTAGATCATCTTTTGGCGGCATTCTATGTTTCCAACTCAAACAGCAAGGCAGGATGTTTTGCAAAACTCTATTCTCAAAAGCCAATGCCATTGAATTGCCTTGCCATGGCTCGTTCATGGACCAAATCGGCTCTCTCCCGCAGTAAAGTATGAGGCTGGCGAGAAGACAACCCTGTCCTTGCCTTCAAGCAGCTGCAGTACTAATGTATCAACCCTCGTACTTGTCCGTTTTCTGTCATTACAAAACAGTGATTTCTTCTGCAGCTCCAGCGCTCAGACGCCACATGTTTATTAGCTGGTCCAAACTCAGTTCCGAAACGCTGTTGTACATTTTTAGCTGCATGACTGTAAACACTTTAGAAAGACCAGGGACCAATGACGGTACAGAAATAGACAACTTGTTGGTAATGTCTCAGCATGTAAACGATAGCCGTTGTTTGACAACTTTACTTGTCAAAAGTTTGCTTGGCCATATATCGGACATGGTTCAGAATGGTAAAGCTGCCGTTGACTAGTCTTGATATTTTCCCTATGCATTCAACAAACTCTTGTCTTTCTGTCTGTACTGCCTATTTCGTTCTATTGCATTGTTAGTCTCCGTGATGTCTGGTGATTGCCCGTTTTTCGGATATAGAGTCCACGTTTGGAGGGGTCTAATTTTGAGTACAGTGTCGAGATGAGGCGTGACTTGATATCCTTGTAACTCGTGGACCCCCATACCAATACCCGGTATCATGACGATGTTGAGCCTCACCGACCGCCTCGGCTCATATGTAGGTCGGCAAACTCGTCCCGTTATACCACGATGCTAGGGAGGTAGTATCCCACATATAGGGTATTCTCTTAACCGGGTGTTTGCTCAAGGTATGTTGATACTGCTCCCATTGATATTGCTACCGGACATAATGGTCCATTTGGTTGTTTTCGTCAAAGTTACATCTGAGCAGGTATAGCAATGGTCGAATAAGCAGTTATCCAATTGTCTATCGACCTTCTCCTCTTTTTGCGTGGTCTGATAAATGCTGTCCTGTCCCTTTTCAGCGAGATGCACCGAGGCAACCTAAGAAAATGGATGTTGTCTCGACCGGCCTCTTTCCCTTTTGGATCTGCGACTGATGACCCCTCCACTTTCCCCGTTTACCATCCGTCCGCTTACACGGATTGGAGTCTCAACTTTCCATTCGCTAGGAAGTAGCTACCGTCGCTCAACTGCCTTAGCTACCCCAACCTTAGTACCTGCCTACCCAACTTGATGGACTCAACCCAATGTACCTTCCCTCTCTGAATAGGTTCGCTTCTAAGACCCTGTCATAGAATCTCGTCTCGCACCCCTTTCATCTAAAAACTCTCCTCTTAGCATCACCACCATCGTCTTATTCAGAGATTACAAACAGAAATGCTCGACAAATCTTTACATCAATTGCCCCCAAACAGATACAGATGGTCTCGCGTTCCGGTTATCAAGGGCACAGGGCCATGCTTGTAACAAATTCCCTGTCTGCCATGCCTGTTTTCACTTTATCGAATATGACAGCATGTCAGACCTTGTCTCTTCGCCTCCAGAGAATCCTCCCATGATCGCCATGATATCCGCCTGATTGCCATCTTTAATCATCCGGTTCACGGTCCTCGTAAGATTCCTCACGGCGGGTATAGCTGATACTCTTCCGTGGTATTTGTTCATTAGCAGCTTACAGCCTTTATCCATGTCTTCCAAGACCAAAGGCATATCTTACTTGGTATTCTGTACGGCGCTGAAAACTGCTGACTCGAATGCCATGCGACCCTCCCGTTGGGCCAACAGCTTACACGGCGCAGTCTCATCCTCTTCTAAGGACCAGTCCCATCTTTCAAAGTCTCCATCCACATTCAATTTGCCCGTCGCCGGCTTAATCTGGCGGACCCGGCATTTCAACCGCCCCCATTCTCGCCAGGATATGTCGACAAACCCCAGAACGTCGTTAAATCGCTGCTTGCTGCAAGCTATCCTGCACTCTGCCACACTTTTAGACAGCCACCCGCTCAAGAACCCCCGGCTGTCACAAGCCAAGATCCGCGACCGTTGAATGTCATGATCGAATTACATGGGCCTTCATTAACAGATGTCTAGACCCCAATTACACGCCTCATTTCTGAAACCACAACCCGGACCGCACATATACAGAGTTATCACGTTTGCGCTTAGAGTTTGCTCCTTCTACTACCTCAAAGAGTTAAACCTCTACCGAAAAGGTAGACAACCACCTCGCCTCGGTTTCAACCCCCAGCTAGTTGCAGAGCAACAAGATACGATTCGATTGACGGCTTCGACTAGGTTTATCCCGATACCACGCAAAGTACACGCGTTCCCCCACTTCTTGCAAGTGCAATCGAAGTTTCGTGCATGTCAAAATCTTACTGACATGGTTCTTCGTCTGGTCTCGAGTGCATCCTGTAGCCTAGTGCACCATCTGCCGGGGATATCGGCATCACATTTCCCATCTGCAGGTGTCTCTTTCTTGTCTCTGATCCCTCAACGGAGTGCTTCCCTTTTCAGGATTCAAACCCGCTGTCTTGAACCCTTTGTGCTCAAGTGACGTCGTCCAGAAGAAGCTATGATGTCTAGCGGTTTTTGCATGCTTGAATTGAAGCTTGGGCCTTAGATTCTACAATTGCCTCATTTTGAGTTCTGTCTCCGATTTGCTGCCTCAAGGTTTCTCATGCATTAGAAAAGACTTTACGTACTTATATCTACCAATCATGTCTTGAATTAGCATTCAAAGCTAGTTTTCGAACGGAGCTTCTGTCACAAGCCTCACATCGCCAGATAGTCTTGACGCTCTTGGCAGAACTCAAACACGAGCTCGTGTATCAGGCGACGACATATCTGAACAGATCGCAGCAAGAACCTACCAAGCATCCACAAATTCCAGAACGCATGGCGAACCTGTCTCCAGGATAAATCAAAGGACCGTGGTCCTTGTCGCTTTCGCGTGAATGCCTCCACAATTCGATCGTCAACGTCTTGTAGCAGTTCAGTTCCCCGTCCGTCATGTTAATAATGGCACCATCATATGCATAGCATTGTATACCTCGCCTGTTCAGACACATTCCCCTGACGAGAACCAGATAATCTCTACCCACAGCTCTGGACCGGTTTCAGGACATGGAATTGGAGTCTAATACGGTGACGACTGCGACCCAAATTCCTGGTTCGTGGGGTTGATAACCTGAGCCTTTTTTTTCTTTCCTCCAACCGAGCCCACACTGTTGGTTCACGGAATCAGGGGCATTTTACTCGAAGATTTACGCCGAGCCTCGGAGAAAAAGCGAGATCCCGATGAAGAAAGTGGTGCCAAGGATCTCAAAAAGGTGACTAACATAATCTCATGCTAGAGAATAAGTTCGCCATGTGAAGAACTTATTAACCCGATAAGGGCGTCTGCAATGCAACGACACAATAAGTTACGTGAGACTATCATCATGGTTTTCACATGTTAAGTTGTAATTTCAATGGTACAAGTTTGTAAGTGGGTTGCTTTTATCGCTTGGGTATTTATTTCAATGCCTATCTGCAGCATTCTGAAAAAGTGACAGAATATCTCAGAAGTTCCCCATCAGTTCGTCACAGTACTGACAGGCTACATGGGTCGCTTACACACCATTGCCTATCCGCTTTCTGAGTGTGGGACATGCCCCCAATGTAAAAAAGAAAATTGAACGCTGGAGTCCCATCCTGCAGCCTTTGTCACACAAAGATGATATGTCCTCCTTTCATCTTCTTCTCGGGCCTAAATCCCGGACCTAGGAGATCATTACTTCACCAGCACCAGTTGCAAGCTCCTCATCTCCCTTTTCAGGGGATTTGGGCTGATCGGTTAAGCCTTTCGACGGCGCAGCCTTCATCTCTAACACATCGCTGTCGCTGCCTTGTCGCTCAAGGTCTTCAAAGGTAAATGCATCAGACAAGTTGACAGCCAGGAATGTCTTTGGTAGTTTGACCCTACAGAGGATGTTAGTGGGGAATTCACATGGAAGACGTTGTGGCAAGGGGATCTTACTGGTTGAACTTGGCTCGAAGGGTCTTGATAACCTGCAGCCAGTCCGCGTGTGGCGTCAAGCTTCGTCGGGGAGCACATCCAATGCAGTGTCGGCTGTCGAGTTGGACATGCAAGGGATCGAATACGTGACATCCAGGGCTGATGGTGATACGAATACTATATGTAAACGTGGGGGCGTTGTGAGGTGATGATCCGTCGCCTGCCGTCTTCATCTCAGCTTCGTAGAGCTCAAAGCAAATTTGAGAAAGATAGTCGAGCTCAGGGATAGTGCTACGCTTAATCTTAGTCTCAACACCTCCCTCAATGATGCAGTTCAGCAGTGTGTAGATGTGCGACTCCTTAGTGAAGTAGAAGAAGGACTTTGCGTCGTCTGACGCTTGCATCTCTTCCAGATCCTGCACGATCTCCTTGAGTAGAGGCAAAGATGTGAGCAAGCCAATCTCAAGTTTCTCGCTGTCAGAGATACCGTATTCTTGAGGGCAGATGAAGTCAAACAAGACCTTAGCAAGGCGGTAAAGCTCTTGCAAGGGCTCATTTTGAGCATCTGTCTGGGATGCAGTCTGCTTTGTTCCCTTGTAAAGGCGGAAGTACTGCTCTGGCGGTGCCTCTTCATTAAAGTGTCGTAGATTGTTAAGGAACGACCGTCTTCTAAACAATTTCTTGACTGAAGCGGAACGGCCTCCAGCGTCCGCCTTATCAGAACCTTCTGGGGAAGGATGCTGGCTCTTGTCCGCTTTCTCGTCAACGGACTTGCCATCTTCAGACTCCTTTGGCTTGCCCTCTTTGGTACCGGTAGCTGTGTATTCGTCCAGCATGTGGTTGGGTGGTGTGTACACCCACTCCAGGAACTGACGGTTGTGCAGCGCATCAAACTTCATGGTGTCATAAAGCTCCGATATCTTGCTTGGGTCAACCTTATCGCCATCGCAGAATTCTTGGAACAGTTTCTCCCACCGCTCTCGGAATAGCTCCGCATCTTCACCGCAGCACCATCGTGACTGGATCTGGTTGATGGTGTTTGCCTGGGACATCGATGATGCGGTGGATGAGCTTGAGTTGTCCCCAGACAACTTCTCAGTGCTTGGGTTCGAGATGGCATTGAGTGACGTGACAGCACCACTGTACAGCTTCTTGTAATTGTGATCCATCACACGTCGGTGGAAATTCATCAGCTGTACGACTCTCGTCTGCACCTCTGAAGGCTCAGGCATGTTTTCTGGCCAAGTAAATTGGGCAGGACGCTCGTTACCCTTGCGCAGCAGGCCCTTGAGCTTCTTCTTCACCTTGTCCATCTCATCCTTAGCAGCATTGGAGTCATCCAACAGATCCTTGCGAATGGTGATGAAGTCTTCTGCAATGTCCTTCTTGCCCAAGAAAGAAGCAGCCCAGATCTGCGCACTTGTGGTTACACGCCTCTCGGAACTGCTGAAAACGTGGACCTCGTCCAAGATATCCCGGTTCAGAAGCATGAGGTCGTTGCGCATATTCTCGCCCAGTTCTTGAGACTGGTATCGGGCCGAGTGGGTAGGCTCACCTCCCCATTTGACAATGAGCTGCAGTTTATCAAGAACCAACCTCTCCTCAGCAGCAGTGAACTTGGACATTGTAACGCCAGAGAGAGAATCTTGTCGTTTTGGTGCCCCAGGAGGTTTATCCTCCTTTGATGAGTCGGCTCCCTCTTCTGCTTTCTTGTCCTCCTTCTCCTTTTCAGTCACAGCGACGAGTTCCTCACTGATCGCAGGCTCTTCCGTCTTTTCCGCCTTTTCGGTCTTCTTCTTCCTGAACATTGGCTTGATCTGAATCTTGGTACCAGGCCAGCTTCCCTTCTTGACAAGAACATTTCGGAGAGATCGAAGCTTAGCACGATCCTCAATTCCCTGTTCGTAGGCCAGGTCCACCGCCTGAATGACACTTCCAAGAGCGGCTTCTCCAATCAACAGGACTTCTTCTTGATGACCCTTCAAAAGTGCAATAAAAGGCTCTGAGTGGAATGTGAACTTGTACTTCTGCTTTGGCGTACGATCTGCGTGTCTAATCACAGAGACCATGCCCTTCAACTTCCAAGAATGGGTTGGCAGAGGAGGTTCCGGTACAGTAGATGTCTCCTCTGGTGGAGGATCTGCGACAGCACTTTGCTGGGCTGGGGGAGGGGACAAAATTCCCGGCAAGTTCACATCAGTAGGAGTAGCTGGGATCACCGGTGTTGCAGATGAACTGTATGATTTCGAAGGTATTCCACTTTCCGGGGGTAGAAGAGGGGTGACCGTGCCGCTTGGTGCGCGGCGTGATGTATCGTCGGGCTGCGAATCAGTGGTAGCTGGGTTGGATGCTATGCTTGTCCTCACACCATTAGCGCTCGACTGGCCTTGCTGTTCACGATCCTTGAATGCATTAGATGCTCGAGTGAATGGGTCAGTTCCGGACTCTGATGGCGCGGGCGACGGCATAGGGGGAGTGACACCACCGCGTCGCATCTTTTCCTTAACAAACAGGTCTTTGAGAATGTTCGAACAATGGTCGTAGTAGTCGTCATTATCCTTGACGAAACTCCAGCCGTTGACATCAATGACATAACTCTTGCCTGATGCTCGCAGCATATCGAAACCGCAAACTCTCTGTCCAAACGCAGTAGAAATCTTACTGGCCATTTCCTTCTCCTCGGGGCCAAGAGCTGTCACATATCGCAACTCTTTGCCATGGGTGTTTCTTCGCACCACGCCGTCTACAACCGGGCTCTTTCGTGTCTCTGCGTGGCAGTAGGTGGGTCCAACAGTGTAAGCCTTCACATCTTCGGCGTTGTCAACTTGCATAAAGCTTTCGTAGATGTAACTGCTGTCGGGCTCGGTGATAGCTCGAGGCGTGTTGAGGTCTTGGATGTAGTCAGAACTCTTGTTTCCAATCTTTCGGAATAGCTTTCGAGCGCCACCGCCATCTTCGCTGGGGAAATAGATGATAATATTGTGGTCCTCTCCACTCGTAGGTTTCTCAACGAAAGGCTTTCTGAGTGTTTGGCCATCAACGCTGATCGTGTTGCCATCTTCAATCATTTCCACCTTCTGGGGAGGTGGTATTTGTTCAGGATCAATAGGGTCGAGAGTGACTCCAGAGATTTCCTTGATGTGTTTCGACATTTCTGGTGTAAGATATTCAGGACCACCATCACGGGTAACCTCAACACGCTTTGGTGTTCGAACATTGATCTTGTCGAGCAAGTGCAGACATAGACGACGGTCCCAGAGAATTTGTTGCATGGGAACATCGTTTACGCAGAAAGGCTTTCGTGCCTTGACGTAGGCAATTGCCTTGTCCAGTGGGAATCCATCCGAGTAGAACGAAATAAGATAATCGCTGTCTGGTGTTAGTGATCGTTTTGGGTAATTCGGCACGTGCCTCTTGCAGCATTGAAGATGCACTCGTGCACCCCACTATGCTACATCAGCTCACCGAGAGTATTGACTTACCATATAGGCCAGTTCTCAACCTCTGGAATAAATAGATTAGTCCGGCTCTTGATTATACAATCTGAATTCGGTGAAATGCTTACCTTCATCGAGGATGACCTTATCGCCAAAGACGACTACGTCGAATTCTCGATTGGCGATCAGCCGGTTCAGAATGTTTCGACTGGGCTTGCTTCTAGCCTTGATATCGAGAGCGCAAACGCCAATAACACCGTATCGTGAGGGTTTCACTGCATAAAGTCAGACTCAAGCCCTTCGCCCTGGAATTTTACCAAGCGTTGAGTGTAGCAACTTACCCTCTCCCCTCTCCCGATGGTGGGGAGCCCGATCACTACTCGGGCTGTGGCTGCTGGTTGCTGTACTTCCACTGAAGCGTCTTTTGGCTCGACTGCGGGATCGATCAGGCCCTCCTTGATCGCGCAGACCAGACGTAGAGTTCTGCATGTTGTCGTGTCTGATTGCACGTTTCGTAAAGTCAAGTGGCTGCGAATTATGATCTCGAGCAGTTAGATGATGCTGATGAGGATTTCCTACGGCCGATTGACCGGCTTGAAGACTGGAAGTAGTGACGGTGACGTTGGAAACTTCAGCTTCGGATTGGACCAGCCCTGTACTTTTGCTTGTCGACAGGAATCCAGGCACAGATCGTGGTGGGGTTCCAAGCTCTGAACTTTGAGCTGATGGTGAACCACTAGGGATGCCGCGGGCGGAAGCAAGAGAATAGACGGATGTTCCCGAAAGTCTTCGAGATTGAAGGTCTGAAGAAGAAGATAATCGATTGTTCGCGGCGCTAGAAGCTTCGGACGAGACGGTGTGGGAATTCTCGGTGGCAGACGGTAAGCGGGTTCGCTGTTGGTGGGGTTCGTCTGAAAGTTGCGAATCGGTCAACACCTGATCTTCGGCGGTGGTCTCTGAGGTCATGGACTCGCGGCGAGTACTTGCAAGAGGTCGGGGGTTCCTGATTGGCAAGGACGACACAGCGGTTGTTGAGTTTGGGGACGTCGTGAAACTAGCCCGGCGTGCGTATGACTCTCTGGTGACGGGCTCGGCGCCGCGACTCTTCCTTGTAGCGGCAGCAGCAGAGGGATTGGCAAGAAGAGAGGCAGACGAGTAAGAGAAAGCACGAGCTTGACGGGGCGGTTTGGGCTGCAATTGATGTTGTTCAACGGGAACGTAACCAAAAGTTAGGGCCGAAGAATGAGGAAGAGAAGGTGGATTGGAGCGGCGAGGCGAGGAAGAAAAGTCGGCGGAAGGTTCGCCGGAGGCGGAGGTAGAGGGGCTAGTCGAAGGTCCGGGTCCAGCTTTTTCTTGACCTTGCACCTGTGCCTGTGCTTGTGTTTTTGCTGGGCTATCAACGGAATCGGTGCTAACAAGATTCGGGTCCGGTGGGTTACTCATGGTGTCCGCCGTTTAGAACCTCAGTAACAGATAAGTGAGAGTCAAGGTAAGGTCGTATGCGGATGATATGGAAGGTATCGATACAGTGTAATACCCTGTTTGATACGTCTGCTTGTTGCCGCTTATCCTTTGCAGTGCATGTACGTATTTCCCTGGAAACGATTTGATTGATCGTATTCTCTTCTGCCAAAGGACCCTGCTGTCAATTGACTCGTACTGTTAAGCTTTGTTTGTACTTTAATTGTTGGGCGTGCTCTGCAACCACGAGCCGATGAACTGTCTGACGTAGTTGAAAAGGCCCGTCTTATTAGGCTACCGAGCCTAAATTGCGTGCAGACAGAACAAAGCCAACGTTTCAGACGCTTTTCGATGTGTCTTGGGTAACGTCCAAAGTCGGTCTTTGTCCCACGGATTGATATTGGAGGGGTGAAACAAAGTCTCCAATTCGTAAAAAGCGAGATGGAATGGATATATATCAAATTAACGAAAGACAGCTTTGATGATGACCTGTTTTTCTGTCTCGGTTTGATTTAGGCCGTTACCATGTTTGGTGCTAGGTAAAGAAGGCAATGTGATTAGGTGCCCGCTGTGCCGCGATCTCGTCAGGTACTAACACTACTGCACCTGCCTACGATTTTTGATGCAAGTCACCAGTTGATGGGGGCCTCCTTCCCTTTTCCTCGCCTTGCAGAAACGAAGCTCCGCGATGGAGCTATTCAATGACGCTGGTGCGATGGATCGCCGTCACAAGATGTCGGTATTTTGGGTGACAGCTGTATTGCAGCTAGACTAACAGGACAAGGGCCTGTAAGTGTAAGGCCAAGCAGAGAAGAGCTGGCAGGCATATCTTCATCCATTGACTCTGTCTCTGTCTTTGTGCTTCTATCACTCTAACACTTAATTCCATGGAAATGTCTTGTATCGAAACTTTGTCAAGGAACAGCTGTTTTCCAAGTCACCAGATTCATTCAACTCTAATGTGAATCCATCTTACAGCGGGGTTCGCGATGGGATCATCCGGGGGGTGGAGGGTTTTTAGCGTAGGCATGATAGTGGAGAAGCCACTTCCAAGCTTTTTCATGTAAGTCCTCACGATCTAGACTGAACATCACCATACACATATCAGGTTGTTTTTTTTCCTTCGACGCTGAAAGGATTGCGTTCATGCAACACATGAGCGGCGCCATGCCGAAGAGTAAGACATTCTCCATTGTCAATGTTCCAGGCACGCAGCAACTAGGAAGAGGTCTGTAAGGGGCATGCTGGATTTCAGCACTATCATTGGACGAATAAGTCGTGGGAGGGACAGCCACGAGGTCTACAGAATGTCTTGAATTCCCAATTCGCTGGCTCTCAAGTTGAGGCGTGCGATAAACTTTGAAGGCGACATAGGGTTGTAGTGAGATGAACACCAGATCGTGATATCAGCTTAATGACATGCAGAAGATCAGCCCTGACCTCACTCGCTATTTCCAGACCACTTGACCAGTCGTCCAAGCCCTTGGCAATCAACTTGAACCAGTACCATCAGTTTCTATATCCGTTATCCGTCTTATCTCTGCTACCCTTGAGGTTACTGCCTCGTCGCAGATCCATCTCATCCTCACTGTCAACTACCGGTACCCCTGCAGCCGTTCATCGCTTGGACTCTCTCACCACAGATGACTCTATAATAAGTAAAACGCCTGCAGGAACGGTTGGCAATATCGCCAAGACTATTCATGTACTGTGTAAGATCTAAATCCAGGAGTAGTTTTGAAACGCATGGTCAAAGGATTGCATAAATGTTTCGACTTGGGGCTATGATCCTGGCATTGGTTTGAGGCTGATCACAGATAAAGGCGAGCTAGCTGTATGCGTTTCAAGTAGACCCTTATGACGATATATCAGATTCACAGTTTGAGTTGGTGATAACGATTCCTAATATTCAAAAGTCTATGCATTTTATAGGTAGAACGACCTAAATCAACCCAATTCCGAGGGAGCCTCTCCCTTAAAGTATGCTGTACACGTGGGCCATGGTATACCGTAACCAATTTCCCAAAATATCGCAAAACCAGATACCCAATGCATCATGTCATAAGTAAAAAAACAAAGCAATCATTTAATCCTCTGAAGGGTTGTATCCCCAGAGGCGTCTTCGCTCGAGAGCCCACCAGTGGGCAACCTCGTCAGCTTCGCGCACCCAGTCGGCGGCTGCACCGCCGTACTGGCTTTTTACTGCCTTGACCGTGGACTTGATAGACCACTTACTCAGAGCTTCTAGCTCTAGAGGGTCTTTGCCGAGATCTGTAAATGTGTATTCGAGGTCCTTCTTGAGAGGAACCGCCAGTCGCCAAGGTGCATCAGCTGATGTGACCGTGAGCATACCACCACCTGGGTTGATAAGTCCAAAGTTCCAAGCACGGCGGCCGTTAAAGGTCTTTCGGTATGGTCGAATAAGGGACTGTCCCTCGTAATCGTTGGCGAGGTCGGATGCGATCGCGGAGTCTTCTTTGTTCAATGATCCCGAGTTGACAAGGAGGTCAAGAACGGTAGGAAGGATAGAGATAGAGGTAACGTTGGCCTCATACTGAACTCGAGGGATGTTGGGGTGATGGAAGGAGATAGGAACTCGGAAGTTGCTGATGTGTCGGTTCTCGTAGGTACCGGTCTTGGAGAAATCCTCCTTGAACGCCTGTCCGTGATCGCCGACAAAAACAACCAGGGTCTCCTCAGCAATTCCAGTATCCTCAAACATCTGCATAAGCTCGCCAAGCCATCTGTCGGTAAAGGCAATGGTGTTGAGATATTTGTCGAAGTCTTGGTGTCGGCCGCCCTGGTTGCCCATGAACTTCTGGGTATCGTACCACTTGGGAACACCCCATGGATGATGGGTTGTGCTGGTAAAGTGTGACATGAACAGACGCTTATTATCAGTCAGGCCATCGTTAATGAACTTCTTAATGTGTTCCTTCAGATCTGTCTCAGGATAACCAAAGTAGTTGATCTCTTCCATCTTAGGGTTGCCGCGGGCTTCTTCGTCGAGCTTTGGCTTTGTGACCTTGAAATCGAATCCAATCTTGGCATCGAACTTATCCTGCCGATCGTAGGAGTCTGTAACGGCCTGGAAGAAACCGGGCTTCCACTGATACTCGTGGAACTTGGCGTGTTGGTTTCCGCCGAGTTCAAACCAGCCGCGTGCTGTCTTGTTGGTTTTGACCTTGTTGAACAGTTCAAGAATCTGGGGGATGCAGGGCTGATAGCTCTCGAGCTCGGCTTCTTCGAACATGTTGACAGCCATGGGCCAGGCACCGCAATGGGCTGCAGCGAGACTCTTGGTCGAGACACTACTGCTGGTCAGACCTCCGACAACGTTAACACCACCAAAACCAGGCTTGGTCTTATCATTCCACAAAGTCTTTTCGGGCTGAGTGCAAGCGGTGCCATTTGCGTAGGCATAATTGCCAGGCTTTCCGGTGATCTTCTCGAAGTTCGGCGTCATCTGAGCGAGTCGACCGGTGATTTCATCTCTGAGCTTTTCTTCGTGTGACTCCATAATGATACGGTGAATGTCGCTGCCTTGCTGGAGTGGGAAGAGCTCCTCGCGCATACTCTCCATAAGAATCAGAGCAACGTGTCGAATCTTGACAGAGCTGTTGGATAGGGCTTCTTGGATGGGCGCAAGGATTTCTTGGTCAAGGTTAGTAATTCGCATTGGATCGTTGACGGGGTTGTAAAAGCCCCGATCCTGTAGAGTGTTCGGGCAAGTTTCACTAGGACCATCCTTCTTATCGAGCTCGTCCTTGTATCGCTGGGGATCCCACTTCAGGAACCCGCTGGGAATAGGGTTAGGCAGCCACTTGGGAGGGTTCTCTCTGTAGTTCTTAACATATTCGTTGTTGTTTTTGCTGGGAGCCCATCCCTTGAAATCGCCCTTGGGTGCCTGCCACTTAGAGTTCTCGATGAGTCCTCTGAGAGGCCACTCGTTCTGAGAGGCGCAACGTCCAAATTCAGGCTTCACTGAATCGAGTAACCGCAAAGGCAAACTGCTGGCCATGTGGTTGTAAGGCTGGTCGGGGCGAGCGATCAAGGTAATGCTAATAAAGAGGACGGCGGCAGTCGTGATGGCCCAAGATGGAATAAAGGCACACATGCGTCGCTTCTTTGGTGTCGAATCCTCAGAATCCTTCTCCTCTCCATCGTAGTTCGGGTCAGGCGATGCATTCCCACTCTCAGAAGCAGATCCTCCGGTGTTGGAGCGCTGGAGGAAAGGCTCGGCGTTTTCGGGATCATGCTGGTACTGCTGATTTTGGGGGCGGATCTTTCCTCGTAGGTATCGAGACACTTTTATACATGTTAAATGATAACCGTAATGATGATGTAACGGATAGACATACCTGAAGCGATGCGCTTACCAAGACCCGACACGACGTTACCAACGGTTCTGTAAAGGTAGTTCTGGGGTAACCACGAGACAATGAGAATTATCAATGCCGAAACCACGACACTGCTGCTTTCACTGATGAGAACATTGAGGCCTTCGTCGTTGGCAAAATCGCCTGCGTCGCTCCATTCGACCTCGCCGCCTGTTCTGTAATGAAAGCCGAGTTCCGACGCAGCGGCAGCGAATGTTATTACACTATATGCGCCAACCGTTAGAAACAAAGCCAATGGAATGAATGTGAACAACTTCAACTTACGTGAGGATACACCCGAAAACATAACCAACAAAGGAAGCAATTGTTCGCTCTCGACGCAGTAGCACGCGACCCAAGAGAACTAGGAAGACATCTTGTAGAAAGAAGCTCGGTAGGTAGACAATAAAGTCAAGGGCTGAAATTGAGTGAATGTGAATATACAAATGTAGCAACTTTGCGAATAGTAGTGATACAAAATACACCGCGAAAAGATATGAGACTGTTGAAGGCATCTTGGGCCTATGTCATATCGTCAGACTTAACGGGGAGGAAGGAAGCAGGAAGATGGGGAAGGAGGGTGGAGGGGAAGGAATAAGGTAATATCTAGGCAAAAGCCAAGCGGACATAAGACTTTTTGTCAGATATACGAGAGTTAGCCTCTTCCTTCCTCTCGTAACGTACTTGTCTAGTACGGTTACTATTACTGTAGCTGAGAAGGGGCAGCCCCAGTTCCAGGTTACGAAACAAACCACAGTCAGTGCACAGTACAGGACAGACTGGACTGAAGTGAAACAGAGTGACACGCAACGCCCCTCACCCCCTGTAAATCCTCACTTAACAAGCGTCCTCCCCAGCCAGGAACATGACTGACAATCGGCATCAGCGCACAGTACGAATACACATCACCAGTGAATTGATGACAGAATTGGAATTACCTAGGGTTGGTATGTGGTCGCGTGTTGCGCTGCAGGTGGAGTGAGCCGTAAAGGTTGGGCGGTAGGTGTCTAGGTGTCTCTGCATTCTGGACTAGAGCCAAGAGCCCCAAGACCAAGCCATAGAAACCTTGACAAACAACATCTCGTGCATAATCGACTACGCAACCCCCAAGTCCTCTAAGACTTTAAGCTTACCTTGGGCTGCCTTTTGACGCCTTGACGTGCCCACAGCCTGCCTTGTTAGCCTTAGCCTCTAGCTTGTTTTTCGGTACCTTTTCTTTATATCCACTGTAACCCAGCCTGTCTGATGTGGCTTCTTTCCTTTGACGTCGACTGAGCCGCCCGCTGCGCCACGGCTGAAACAACACCTACCTTCTGTAAAGGTGCACGCCGTGGCCTGAGAACAGTTGATCGTCTCCAGCTAGGTTTCTTTCAAGGCCTGTCCTGCCTGTCCTGGTTTAATCTGCTCTACCGTATTCAAACTTTGCCTCCACTTTTCAACCAAATGGACAAAGGGGGCTTTTCTTTCAGTCCGGTAGTTAGGTTGATGGCTGATTCCTTTGTTGCCTGCCCCGAAAGCCCTCTTTATCCGTCCCATACCCAATTTGCTACAGCGTAAAATAGTGGACCTGATTGATATAATGCAATGGGTTACTCTGACTCTTTATCTTGAGTGAGCACTAGATCTCATCCCAAAACCTTGTACCCTCTCCTGTTGGTTGGCCCTGAATGTTCCCCTGGTGTTGTCAAGTCTAGACTGACACCAGTTCTGGCTGTAATCCCGAGGCGCTAATATCGGTGACGTTTACAGTGATGGTGGTGGACCTCAATTGTATCATGTTTATCCCTACAGCTCGAGCCTGCAGCCCATGGGCCGTTGTCGGCTCGGCTTTTGCAGAGTACGTACTGCGCTAGACGATGGCACCGCGTCAAAGATGCCAAAGACTTACATAGTGTTTTGATCGTCGTCTCCTACTGTGTCTTGGCTTGCATCCATTATACAGGGATGTCCAAGAAAATCAACAGAGGATGGTGGGGTTACCTTGCGTGAGGTAGATCATTTTCAGGTGCATGGAGAAACCGTTGTTTACTATGAATAGAAGGTGCTGAAAGGGATGACTATTGTTATCGCACTGATCTGATGAAGCAAACGCCCATACTATTATTCTGATCAATCCCATCCTCGTATCATGTTTCCTCCCATCTCGATATGCACTCAAATCCCCTCTCAGCTAAGCCCGCTCACGTAAGTAAGGATGGCTGCATAACTCCCTGCCTTGAACTCGAATACCCTTGGCAGCCATATGGTGTCACAAAACATTCTATCTAAAAACTTGTCTTGGGAATATTGGTCTTACGAGTACCACATCGGTTATGCCGTGCCGTCATTGGGGCTCAGGCATGTACACCGAGAACTCTCGCAGCCTTACTGTACAACAAAGCGACCGAGCTTGACCAAGCGCGTCTTCTAACGTTAGTTCTGGCTCGATGCGATTCATGTCGAGATGAATTGAAATCGAGAGGATTAGGCCCAATGCTTCGTTTCATCTTGGGTTTAGTCAGGTCCAGATCTTCGGATGCTATCCAGAATTCCAGTCCACGATTAACTCCCTCGCTAGTTCCGGGCCTTGCGCCATCGCCTCGCCGTGCCTGCCGGTTGGAAAGGACCCCTATGTAAGAGGCTGTTGAATTTGGCTGTTGATTATTGAACTTGGCTAGAGGGCGTCAGGTTGTCAGAAGAATTGGCTGTCAAGGGTATAAGGGACGAAATAATTTGGTCGCCTTATGCAAGCTACGGCTAGTAATTAGGCTGCTTTGATTCTGCAGTCTAAGCCTTAGAGGACAATTCTTTTAACACCCCTGGCTGTTAGATTCGGCTAGCTGGCTCTATCGAATTCAATTGATGCCGAATGTGATAGTTGGACTGACAGAATAAGTCGTACACCAAAGGCAAAGTAAGAGTCGACGCATTCCACTCTCTGTAAAATTCTTTAGGTTCCAGAAAGTGAACTACGAAGAGATATGGAGGTTCTAATCATATTCGCAAAGTTCATTTAATACGAAAAGAATTAAATGCAGTTGTGAGGTGGTAGTTTTGCTGTGTCTCAACGTCTAAATATTTTGTTCAACTCTATGCAGATGATACTGCCGCGCGACACCGCCAAAAATTGTAAATTTTTGGAGATGGATCCAGCATCATGTAGAGCAGCCTCCATCGCAGAGCGCAAGCGGGCATCTTTGGTGTAGCAACTCCTGTCGCTACTCGCACCATCCTCATTTAATATTATCATAATGCCTCACAAAGACGCTGACCACCCCGTGGTCAAGCGCCAGAAGACTGCGGCACCCGCCAATGCTTCAAAGTCCGCATCAGACTCTTCAAGGATTTTTGCGCCTTTCCGCGTATGTCTATTTTCTCGGTCGCCATCTTGCTATAGCTAACTTTGTCGCACAAGACTGTCGGTTTAGTATCTCCTACCAGCGTTCCTTTCACCTCGATTCCTCTCGGAAAGACATCCTTCCAGATTTCCACCTCGGTTGGCCGAGCTATTCAGACTTATGATCTTCGTCGCGGATTGAACCTCGTTTTCATCACTCGCCCGCAAACCCCCGCCGATATTACCGCCACCCTCGCCTGGAAGCAACAGATTTTTGCAGCATGGGGAAATCCTCAGAAGGGAGAGCCTCAGGGTGTCTGGGTCTACCAGAGGGGTAAGAAGGTCGATGAGCTTGCGCTGCCCGCCGACCTCGACGAGCCCATCCAGCAAATTCAGATTTTGGGAACATGGACTATTGTCGCTGCTTTGACCCGTATCGAAGTTTTCAAGACCGCCAGCCTGGAGCACTACACCACCATCTACACCACTCCTGCCAACGACCGAGGCAATGAGATCACGGGTGGCATTGTTACTATGCCTACTTTCCTCAACAAGATTTTCGTTGGTCGCAAAGATGGCTGGGTCGAGATCTGGAACGTCAGCACCGCCAAGCTTATCTACACTATCCTACCTCCTTCTCCCGATTGCGGTTCTGTAACATGCCTTGAGCCCAGTACTGCTCTGTCTCTCCTCGCTATCGCCTATTCCGAGGGAACTCTTATCATCACAAACGTTCTTACTGACAAGGTCGCTCTTCGCATTGAGGCTGGCCACTCGGAAGCACCAGTCAACTCGATCTCTTTCCGAACCGATGGCATGGGAGCTGGTCAGGATGGACGCAAGGATGGTGTTATGGCTACGTCGACAGCTGCTACTGGAGATGTCACATTTTGGGATTTGAACGGTGGTGGTCGTGTTATGGGTGTTTTGCGAAGCGCTCACAACCCTCCCTCCCACGATGGACCTCTTGTTCGCGGCGGTATCAGCAAGGTCGAGTTTCTCCCCGGTCAACCTGTGATCATGACCAGCGGCCGTGACAACTCTCTCAAGTCCTGGATCTTCGACGAAACCCCCTTCTCGCCTGTTCCCCGAATTCTCCACCAGCGCAGTGGACATGCCGGTCCCGTCAACTGTCTTCAGTTCCTTCCTACCGACTTTGAAGGCGCCGATGCTGGTAACAAGTGGCTGATCAGTGGTGGACAAGACCGAAGTCTTTGGGGATGGAGTTTGCGCCGTGATGGTCAAAGCACAGAGTTGAGTCAGGGTGCCATTCGCAAGAAGGCCAAGAAGATTGGTATTCTGGCTACCAGCGCTCTCTCTCACGGACCTACAACGACTTTGGAGGACCTCAAGGCTCCCGAGATCACATGCATGGCATCTTCACTAAACAGAGATGGTGGTATTGGTGCTATGCCTGGTAAGCAACCTGTGTGGCAAAAGATGCAGAAGAGAAAGCCTCAAGATGCCGAGGTTAGTGGTATGACCGGCTGGGAGAGTGTGGTGACTGCACACAAGAACGACAAATTCGCCAGGACGTGGTTCTGGGGTCGCAAGAGAGCAGGTCGATGGGCTCTCCCTACTGGAGATGAGACTAACGTTTCGACTGTTGCTATCAGCCCTTGCGGTACCTTCGCTCTTGTTGGTGCCGAGTCTGGTGGTATTGATATGTACAACCTCCAGTCTGGAAACCATCGCACACGATTCCCTTCAAGACTCACCCCAGCTCAGGCTCGCGCACTCAAGATGCAACAGCTACGACAGGCAGACGATGTCGTGGCACTACATGCTGAGGCCACTCGCCAGTTCCCCGTGGGCACTGGAAAGCATACCAAGCGTGTCACCGGTATCATTGTCGATCAGATGAACAAGACCGTAGTGTCTTGCTCCTTGGACGGCAAGATCAAGTTCTGGGACTTCTTGACAGGAAATCTGCTCGAGCAAATCGATTGGGCACCTATGACTTTCCCTACCGCATGCAGATACCACCCTGCCAGCAACCTCCTCGCCTTTTCTTGCGACGACCTATCGATTCGAGTGGTGGATATGGAGACCAAAAGAACTATTCGTGAGTTCTGGGGTCCTCAGGGCACCATCAACGATCTGTGCTTCTCTAGCGATGGACGATGGATTATTGCAGCTTCTCAAGATTCTGTCATCCGTGTCTGGGATCTTCCTACAAGTCATTTGATCGACGCTATCCGACTGGAGAAGCCTTGCAAGGCAATTGCCATGTCCGTTACTGGCGAGTACCTCGCTGCGACAATCGAGAACGAGCTGGGTGTGACACTCTGGACCAACAAGGCTCTCTTCAAGCACGTTCCCACACGCCAGATCTCCGAAAAGGAGATTGGCCAAGTTTCCGCTCCTACAGCTTCTGGCGAGAACAGTCATGGTATGTTGGAGGGTGCATTCGAAGAGGAGGAGGCCGAGGATGAGGATACCGTGGTGGCGCCTACGATCGAGCAGCTCAGCGCCGATCTTACAACTCTGTCTCTGGTTCCCAAGAGCCGCTGGCAAACACTGCTGCACTTGGATCTTATCAAGGAGCGAAACAAGCCCAAGGAGGCCCCCAAGCTTCCTGAGAAGGCTCCTTTCTTCCTGCCTTCAACAACAGGCAAGGATAACCCCATGAAGAACAAGGAGGAGGAGAAAGCAGAGGCGGAGAACACTTCTCGCGTCACGAAGCTTGAGCAGGCTCGTTTCGAGCAAGCTCTTAGTTCCAAGCTTCGTGCTGGAGCAGAGACCGGAAACTGTAAGCACATTCCCTTGCCCTGATATTGTTACAAAGCTAACTCAACATAGACGATGATTTCATCGAGCATCTCAAATCTCTTTCACCCTCCAGTGCTGACCTGGAGCTCCGCTCGCTCTCCGTCGGTGATGGCGACGAGATTCCTAATGAGCTGCTGCACTTCATCCGTGCTTTGACAGCGCGCCTCAAGACTCGCCGAGACTACGAGCTTACTCAAGCCTGGATGACTGTGTTCCTCCGACTTCACTTTGATCTAGTGATGGAGAACGAAGAACTGCTGAATGCTTTGAGTGAGTGGAAGACATATCAGGAGAAGGAGTGCAACCGATTGGATGGTTTGGTTGGATACTGCAGTGGTGTGGTTAGCTTCTTGAGGAACCCAAGGACATGAGAAGCATAAAATAGCAATGTTAGTTTCAAGAGTAAAATAATGGCGTTTGAATATCATGGCATGTTAGGGAGCATATAGTATACTAGGAATACAATATTCAATCCCAACAAGTTTTCAATCGTGACTGTTTAATGTATTCAATCCATCGACATCTTTAAGCTACTGACGTTCATAAACTCTGTTTGCAATTGCGTTCAAATGAGCCTCTTTCAACTCCTCCTGTCTGCGATTCCTACAAATACACAGTTTCTCCCCAACTCTTCTGGAGACTCAACTTCCTAGTCGTCTCTATCATATACGTTTCCAATTTCACCGCGTTTGTTTGCGCATTCACGCTGTCATCCGTACGGTAGTCGAATGGTTGTCGCGAACATGTTATGCGCTTGTGTCTGAAGAGGCGATCGTGCGAGAAGGTCCTGGCTGATCGGCTTTCTAGACCTGCTCGGCGCCCCAGCCAGCGTCTTCGGCCTCGCGCATGTTGGCAGGGGGCTCAATGGAGGGGACGAACTCGAGAGCGACGTAGGCAAGACCGGTGATACCGACGATGCCACCAGCGATGTAGCTGAGGACATTGCCGCCGAGGATCAGAGAGCCGAGGAAAACGTAGACTGTGAATGAATTAGCGGTGGTTCGAGTACAGTTCTTTTAGACAATTACTTACAGACACCACGGCCGATGAAGGAGAACATGAACGACGCATGTCGGGCAACTTGAGGGGGAATTTGGAACTCTGCGGTTTGTTAGCATTGGTCTACAGGTTTCAGTGACTGTCGCGACTTACCAAGAAGGCCAGTAACAAGACCAAAGATGATCATGTAAGCACCAAGAATGATGGGCTGACTATAGAGAAGCTATCAGTACTCGTGTTGCTGCGTCGCAGCCAGGTGCTCGATTCGACTGCGGATTTAAAAGCGATCGGCTCGAGCCCGGGTTGGTGTGTACGTACAGGCTGAAGGAGAAGATGGAAACGACACCACCGAGGATGACGATAACACCGACAACCAAGTTGACAATGCGACTACACGTAGACACGATGGTTAGCGACGACTTGGTTCGATTCAATGCAGAGACTGCTTCAATGCCCACTCACAAGATGTCTGAAGGCTCCATGTTCATTGTGTCTTTGGGGTTTCCTGGACTGCGCCGGTAAGAATTCGAGGTCGATGGAGATTATATGTTGTAGAGAGAAGAAGTAGGCAGCAGTCGCGTTGTAGGCAGAAGAATTGTTGATGGGTTTGAGGGTTTGCGTGGCCGAATGGAGTTGGAAAAGCACAGGAACAAGATTACGTAGGTAGCCCCGAAGAGGTGCAGCGGCAGCAATGCTTTAGCTCTAGGTTCCAGGTCCAAGTCCAGGAGATCAACCCCCAGAATCAAGGACCTGTTCGCTTTGGGTTAGTGCCAGCCACAGCCACACGGGTCTACCTCAACCAATTAGAGTCGGAGGAACTAAGAGTTGGTTGCGGAGTACGAGTCCCAAGTATTGACGAATCAAGATGGATGACCAAAAACAGCAGAAAGCTCAAAATCAAGGACCCTCAAAGAAACAAGGGCCTTTTGAGATGCCGCAGTCGAGTCTAAGTCAGGAATGATTGTTTTATCGCTACTAAGGAGCGGCGGCCCGGCCGTTAAAGGCTCGGGGCGTTGTCTTGCACGTCAATGGCGCAATAAAGAGCTCGTGAATTTATCGAGGCGAGCTATGCACCAGGCGCATCATGATACTCAGCTACAGAACATTCGAAATATTGGTATTATTGCTCATGTTGATGCTGTAAGTAGAATACCTCAGATTTTGGTCTCTCAATAAGTCTCACATAAATGAAAGGGCAAAACAACTACCACAGAGCGAATGCTCTACTATAGTGGTGTCACGCAACGTGTTGGAGGTGAGCATAGAATTAAAGGTTTCTGAGATTAAATACTAATGAAAACTAGATGTCGATTCTGGAAATACTGTGACAGACTTTCTGGATTTGGAGAGAGAACGAGGTATCACCATTCAATCAGCAGCCATCACATTCAAATGGCCGCTTCATCAATCACTCGCCCCAGGAGAACACGCAAAGACAATCAATCTTATCGATACTCCCGGTCATCAAGACTTTCGTTTCGAGGTTGATCGCTGTCTTCCTATTCTCGACGGAGCAGTCTGTATCATCGACTCAGTCAAAGGCGTTGAAGCGCATACAGAAAGAGTATGGGGCTCTGCTCACGAGTTCAAAGTCCCACGTATTGTATACTGCAACAAACTCGACCGAGAAGGCGCCTCTTTCAAAAAGGCTGTTCTTGAGATCGGTTCGCGTCTCAAAGGTTGGCCGCTGGTCTGCCAGATTCCTTGGTGGGAGAAGGAGGATTTTGTTGGTGTAATTGATATCGTCAACAGAGTGGGCTATCGATGGAAGTCAGAGCGTGAAAAGACCGTCTACAATACCGCTCAGCTGAAAGAAAAACTCTCAAGTTCTAACAAGGATCTTCTTCCTGAAATTGAGACTGCGAGACAGGCTTTGATCGAGGGTCTTGCGGATTTCGATGAGGCTATCATGGATGAGTTCCTCGCTGAGAACGAGAATATCGATGCGGCTTTGATCAAGCAAGCTATCCGAAGAGTTATTCGAGACGGTGACGGCCGTGTCATTCCTGTGTTTGCAGGATCTAGTTTCCGTCACATTGGTGTTGAGCCATTGATGGATGCTGTCACAGATTATCTACCAAGTCCAGATGAGCGCCCATCCGCAGAAGTTCGCGTTGGCTCAGCAAAACACCGTTTGATCGAGGTGCTCGAAAACAGTTCCAAGACAGCCAGAAGTCAGGTTGCCTCGATTGCTTCAGTTTTCAAGGTCTTCAACCACCCTAAGGAGGGTGTCATCAGTTTTGTGCGAGTTTACCACGGCACTCTTACTAAAAACGCAGCGAGTTTCAACACCAATATCTTGAACAACGAAAAGCCTATGGGAATCCTTCAAGTTTCAGCAAACATGACGCAGGATATTCAGACACTGGGGGTTGGTCAGATCGGAGCTTTGAGAGGCTTGAAGAAAGCTCGAACAGGTGATACACTCATCACAATGAACGGAAACAAGCCTATTCCTGAATCTTTCCGTCATGTCAAGATTCGACCACCAGAGATCCCACCACCCGTTGCATTCTTGCAAGTCGAGCCTTATGGTAACGTTGCTGCCCAGCAACTCCAGATTGCGCTTGAGAACACTACAAGAGAAGATCCCAGTCTCCGGTACAGCCGGGACCCAAAGACCGAACAGTTTACTATACAAGGTATGGGCAAACTTCATCTCGACGTGTCACTTTACAACATGAAGCAAAAGTACAAGATCGATGCCGACTTCGGTCCTATCGAGGTTGATTACAAGGAATGCGTCACAGAGCCTACGAGGCCACAATACACAGTCTTTGACCGTCCTGTCGCAAGCAAGTCCGGCAAAGTATCATGCACCGTTGTCCTGGAGCCACTTGAGGAGCACCATCGAGAGACTTTACTAGAATCCAGCATTGAGCGAGACGGAAACATATACCACGTCGCCATTCCCTTGCCGGGAGAGAATACCACTCTGAACTTTGACCCTGAAGAGGCGAGAGCGCAGCTTCTCAACGGTGCTATTGCAGGTCTTGCGAGGGGTCCTCGTCGTGCAGCTCCCGTTCACGGGTGCCACGTTACCATCACACTAGACACAGAACCTGGAGCATGCGAGACACCTACCGGCGGCCACTTCAGCAGTGCATCCAGGACGGCAGTGCAAGCCGCTCTCCGGGACGCATTCGAGAAGGAGCAGATTGGCGTTCTGGAACCTATCATGCTTGTCAACATCACCTGTCCAGAGGTTGTAGCCGGCGCGGTGCAACACGACGTTACAGCCGGCGCAGGAGGACATGTTTTGGAGGTCAACGACAGATCTGCGGAGTCTACAGGTGAAGATCATATTGATGTGTCCAAGATCTACACTCCTCCTGATCCGTACGATTCTATTACTTCTTTGAGGGGTAAGAAGTCTTCGGCGAGGGTGGTTGAGATTATTGCAAAGGTTCCGTATAAGGAGATGTTGGACTATGATAATCATTTGAGGAGTAAGACTGCGGGACGGCACTCGATGACCATGTTCTTTGACTCTTTTGCTAAAGTTGTTGGACATCGTGAGAAGAGTCTGTAGAGAACTTGTACAGAGATGTCATGTGAAGGGTTGTAAGATAGAAAGCAAAAGTGAAAGCAGTTATGTATACTATGTACCAAATTTATCAAGTTTACGCCATAAAAACCTCGAGGTCAAGGTCAGGCAAGTGTCGCTTACACCACCGCCAGGGAGTCAGAAGCATTGGCCCCTAAAAGCATACGAGACGATAAGAGATGAAATGATCTAGTTACCTTATGCAAGTTTAGGCTAGCACTTATACCACTTTATCTTAGTAGCTTAAGCCTTATGTGATAACTTTTTTGGCACATGCCTGCAGGACTACATCGCGATTTTGAGGAACAGGATCATGAATGTAAGCGAGTGTATGTATGACTGATATATGTACTGAATCCTATATACAAGAAAGAACTGGCGATATGCCAGGTCCTATCAATATATACCTTCGAAAGGGTATTTCCATCTCAAATTCCCAAGTGTCTATCATAAACGCCAAGACGAGTGAAATCATCTCCAAAAACGCTCATCCCATGCAGTACCTGAAAGTGACAGAAAGAAAACGGTAGCCTTAGACAGATCGCTTCTTGATGTTGCACTTCTTCAAGCATTCCTCAACACCAAGAGCAATGCTTCGAGGAATAGCAGCGCGGACCTTGTCAATATCCTCACCAGCAATGCTCTGACCAAAAGTAGCAGCAATAACATCATCGCTCAGAGCAACAACCTCATCAGCAATCTGGCCAGTACCGAAATCCTCAGCAGCGAAAGAAGCGACAAAAGTAGCAGGCTCGCAGTCGGGGTTGTACTGAGTGTGGACAGAGCCTTGGTAGAAGGGAGTCATCATGTTGGCCTTGAGTTCGGTGTGGATAACTCGGCGCTTGCCATCCTTGTCCATGACGCCGTTCTCGGGAACCATTTCGGTGATGAGACGGCCGGAGGTTACGACTTGGAGTTCGGCGGAGCGGGGGTGGACGTGGAGAGTGTTCATGCCGCAGGCTAGAGACATATGTTAGAGTTGTTGTATGAAGAGGAGGTGTAGGAGTGAAACTTACCATCAACTCGGCCAAAGGCCATCCCTGAGCCGGTACCGACAAGAGCAGGAAAGGTCTTGCGGTTAGCAGCGATGAGTTCGCCGCCCTTTCCAGGGTTGGGCTGCTTGGTGTTGAAGTCGAAGACGAAGTCATCGTCGTTGGGAAGAAGAGCGAAGCGATCAGCGGCACTGGTTTGTGTTAGTTGAAAGTCATCAGTGGGTGTTAGTTGGGGGCTGCTTACGTATCGGCAAGTTGAAGCTGGGCAGTCAGACTGAGAGGTTGAGATCGTTGAACATTGCGAGGAGCAGCCTCAGTGAAAGAAGTGAGAGCCAAGATGGCAGAGATGGTAGCAATGGTGAACTGCATTGTGATAGTTGGTAGTTGTTATAAGTGTGAGTTTGTATAAGTATCAAGAGACTGAGTTTATGTAGATGGTTGTTGAAGCTGTAATGCTTGTGAATGCAATATGATATTGAATGATAATCTCAACTTGACAGGACAACACCATCTTCTTATACCTTCTTGATCATCATCAAAGTCCACAGGATAATCAGGCACAAGATAGCTAAGCTTAGCTGTCTGACAACAGCTCTATCCCCAAGGCTTTGCCCTCTCAGAAATAGTCCACCGCCCTACGGAAACTCTAACATCCGCTGCCAGTTCATCATCAAGGCCAAGGCCCTTCCTTGGAGTCGCAGCGTCTTGGTGCTGAGTGATGCACTGCCATTGGTCATCTGCCGTTATTTCGAGATTCTGGGGGCTGTGCAAACAAGATCCAACAGGGCCGCAGCTGACCAAAAATATACCATTGACAGCAGAGTAAGCGCTTCTGCGCGTTAATGTCAGCACCAACGGATCCTGCGTTTCTACGGATGTTGAAGAGCCGATGGAAGCGTCGAATGAGGTTGAGGTTTTGTTTCTGTTGGTCGGAAACAAACCAAACACACGGCCCGCTGTGTTTCTGTCATAAGCCACCACGACCTATATGTGAGCCAGATATGGATTTTTATTGTTTCTATTTGAAACATTTGAGGGAGATATCTCATTATTCCCATCTTTTCATGATCATGTTTCTGCTTTTGATTCTCCCTTGCGGTTCTCCTTGCTGGTAGAATCTCGGTATGTCTTGTACTGAGGCTGGTCAGATTGACTCAGGTGGGGATAACAGAAGGAATATTTTCTGACTTGGGCTATCAAAATAAAGGTTCCAAGAGCTAGTCTGAGCTTGCATAAGATGAGCAAGTTATTTCATCTCTTATGGTTTTAGCGACTAATTCTTCTCATCCTGACGTGACGCTTTGAAGAGAAAATAACACTATCTTTTAGGTGTATAGGTTAGGCTTGCTAGGTAGGTAGTTTCATCAAAGTGTCAGGGAAAATGCGTATGTTCCTTCCCGTTCAGTTTGTCTGGCTCTACCGCCGGTGAGGTAAACTTCCTACCTATAATTCTATTCGGTTCATGATGATGTAAGTGGGTTTGTTCAACTTGCACAACCGTACCTGCCACACCAATGGCAAGAACAACCACAACCTTCACATCCACGTAGCAGTCGAATCTCTGCATTCAGAGAAAAGGATGAGACTCAGACTCATCTCTTATCCGGACACACATTAACCGCTGGCCCAGTGTCATTACCCCATGCATTACTCTTCATGCAACAGTTGGATGTGCAGCTGATCCTTCCAAAGAACCCCTCAAAGGACATGCTCTCTGGTGCTATTATTCTCCCTTCGATTGGTGTTGCAATTCTAGGAACCGTCCTTACTACCCTTGGATCAGGAGCGACAGTTGTGGCGCCCTCTCACGGAAGGAAGAAGAATGGACACCGTGGGAAGAAATCTCAGCGAAGTACCGATCCGGAGATGCCTCAACCTGAAGATACATCAACGACTACCTGAGCGCATGCCAGATGATGAGTTTCTCGAGGACTAGGATTACGAGAAGATGCGCCATCCTTAGAGCAAGTTAATTCTCAGCAAGCTATTTCAGCAGACGACTTTTATGGCTTCATGGAGCAGAGCTCTGAGGGTCATATTGAGCTCCCATCAACCAACGTGGGAGAGTTTCACCAAGTTCCGTCCGTTAAACCAGACAATACAATGTGAACGAAATCAGAGCCAATCAGAGGTATACTTGAGAGGGCATAGGGCAACAAAGTCATTCTAGGGATAAGCCTCTCCGGCAATGTTAAGTAGATACTCCTTGATACAGTCTGATAGCACTACTAACTAACAAAACAGCCTGAATTTGGGCTCTAGGTTGCTAAATGACCACTGAAACATAAGAGACGAAATGACTTAGTTGCCTTTTGCTGGCTTAGACTAGCACTTACGCTATTGAACGTAAGAAACAAAATTGAATCAGTCAGAACTTTGAATGCTGCGGCTTAAAGTGTTCCTCCACATTGTTTCGTACTGCAGCAGGTAATTCAGCCACTCCCGCTCTCAATAACTTTGTTTGGGGTTGAAACATAGCTTCAATGTTTAAGTTGTTAAATTGCTCTATCCACTTTGAATGAGGAGAGTCCTGCATGATCTGACCTGTCCCGTTCCCACTTGGTCCATTACCCTGGATGATCTATGTCTGTGTTTTTCTTTTTGTTATTGAGATCTCTTAAAACTATTGCTTTTTGTCTTGGAAATGACGCGGCAATTGTGAGGGAAAGTAGAGACACTGAGGTTGGAATACTGACTCAGTTGAATGCCTCTATTGTGCTTGAAGAATGCATTATCAAGTCCAGAACCAGTTATCCCCATATCATTACGGAGCAACCACATAGAAAGCATGGGGAAATATCCTCCACAGGCAAGTTCCAGTGGATATACAGTAAATCTGATCCCAGAACAGATCAAGGCCGACAACCGGAATGCTACCTTGAAATTTCGCTTGAGCTTATAGCATTGACAGTGGATTACTTGGTCCGCGCGATAGAATCGGCTGCAAGGTAGAGTTTTAAGCGATATTTGGATCCTCTGATAAGAATGCTTGTTTATTCGTAATCAGAAACTGTTATCCGATAAAAGATGTCGGTCTATGGAGTTGAATTGTAGATACGGATAATAGAGAAGAGAAATTCATGACATGGGAATGTAGCCTGATAAAGGATGGTCATTGTTTAGGCACTTAGAGCAAGCAGGAAGGAGCATTAGTGAGTTAGTTGTGCGATTGAGGAGGCAGGTGCTGCAAGTCATGCGCCTGCCTTCAATCACTGAAAGATGGGTAGTCACCTTCTAACCTCGACTCAACACCACGGCCAAGTGAATAAGTGATAAACAAACAGAATCAACATGACCCAAAGAAATAGAATCCTTCGTCCACGATTCGACGCCTTGCCTTCGCAGCTTCTACTATGGAGACACACTAAACCAGGGAAGCATGGCGTAGATCTTCCAAAGACCTAACTAACAAACGGTAACTAAAATTAATGTCTCCTCAATAGTAGGTGAGTCCTTCCATCAATCTTATTCTTATTTGGACCAAAAAGCTGACTCGCCTTAGAATTAACCTCGCAGCCAAGCGCGTCTCGACAGCCAATCCTGAGCCGCATAGAACGCGTCCCGTTCAGCCTGTTTGTCTCTCCGCGGGCAATCAGTTGTGGCTCCGGCTCTAACAGGAGCCGTCTTTGAAGCCGTTGTGACGCTAACCGAAGACACATTGGCCCAGGAACAGTTTTACTGTTGGTATGCGGTAAAAACTACCGTCAGGGGCTTTAAAATGACCAGCGAGCCAATGTGAGCTTTCGCCGCAAGCCACCGAAGAAAACGTCCAGGGGTTAGAACCATGGTGGAAGATGAGAGCACAATGGAACAAGGACGCCATCATCTTTGACAGGAGAAACAGGATCAAGACAAGACAGGAACCGATCCAGAATAACAATCCAAAACCATTACCGAGACAAGCAGCCATTGATGTCGCCCACAAAACCCCAGAATCCTGCTACTGGAACAATGCCTTCAAGGGAACAATATTCTCTTGCCGTATCCGGACCTTTGTTCCGAACATGCTGGTCTTATTGCCGCAGTGTCAACCCTATTTTGTATCGACGACTTCTCAATTAAGCTCGTCCTGTCATGATGCGATAGACTCTAATCTGCTCCAAGCACTATCCCCTGAGCCAACAGACTTGAGCAAGGCACAGTCTCAACCTGATTGGCTGGATCGGAACTAGGGGTTAAGCAAGGGCCAAGTCTGATTGGGAACAGTTTCATTACTCGAACCTCCATCACAGGAGAACCTCCACATTATGACAGGGGACCTCATGTTCATGCAGGTACGGAGAGGCCAGGGCTCAACATGGGGTCTGACCACGAGCCCACTCAGACGAGGCCCTCGCCTGTCGCTCAATCTCCTGGTCGTGGGTGAATGCGCCGGCGTCCGCGCTGTTGACCATTGCTCATTTCCTGGGGATCCATTTCTATCTCGCCCACTGTCGATCTCTTAATAGTCATGTCCTTGCTTCCTTGCCTGTCACTCACTCTTTCGTTTCCTTCCTTTTGTTAAAACGTTTCTGTCGCTGGTCCACAAACCTGTTGGCCTTTTCTCGTCAGCTTCATCACTCGTTCTGTTGCTCGACGACAATTACACTCATTTACCGACGCCAGCTGGATATATGTCTTGTTGATTTTTGACAAGTTCTTTGAAAGATTGGAGGTATTTACGCACATAATCAGAAACATACTTTTTGGAAATTCGAACCGGATCGACTATCTTTGATCGACGACAATCACAATGAGATTCATCAACGTTTCAGCTGCCCTTGTGGGTGTCCTTTCTGCGCCAGCAATCGTTGCTGGCAAGTCCCATGGCCACCGCCATGGTCAACATTCTGCTTTCGAGTCTCGCCCTCTCCAGAAGCGAGGAGGACAGTGCCAGTTTCCTACCGATGACTCCAACATGGTCGCTGTCACTCCTGATGCTAAGAACGCCGGTTGGGCTATGAGCCCCGATCAAGAGTGCAAGCCCGGAAGCTACTGCCCATACGCTTGCAAGCCTGGTATGGTTATGAACCAGTGGGATCCTAAGTCAACTTACGACTACCCTTCTTCTATGGTACGCCCGCGAAACATCAACCACCAACTCGAGAAACACTAACTAACACTTCTCAGGACGGAGGTCTCTACTGTAACGAGGATGGTGAGATTGAGCAGCCTTTCAAGGGCAAGCCAAACTGTGTCTCTGGCACTGGTTCCGTTGAGGCTGTCAACAAGTGTGGTTCCACCATGTCCTGGTGCCAGACTGTCCTGCCTGGTAACGAGGCCATGCTTATCCCTACTGTTGTATCTTCTAGTGCAACTCTGGCTGTTCCCGGATCTTCCTACTGGTGCTCCACCGCTGCTCAGTAAGTCATTTCTTTAATCTTGACGATCAATGAAGATCTCTAACCATCAACTAGCTTCTACATCAACCCCCCTGGAACTGGCGAGGAGGGCTGCATCTGGGGTACTGAGGACAAGCCTATTGGTAACTGGAGCCCTTACGTTGCTGGCGCTAACACTGAGTCCAACGGTCAAACCTTTGTCAAGATTGGCTGGAACCCCATCTGGGAGGACTCTGGCCTGAAGAGCGAGCTCCCTGACTTTGGTGTCGAGATTCAGTGCCCTGATGGTGGCTGCACTGGCCTTCCTTGCAAGATCGACCCTACCAAGGGTGGTGGTAACGTTGGCAGCGAGCTTTCTGCTAAGGGTGCTGGCGGTTCAGGCTTCTGTGTCGTTACTGTCTCTAAGGGCAAGACTGCTCAGATTGTTGCTTTCTCTACCAGCGGCGGTGGTTCCGGCTCTGGCGATGACTCTGATGATGACTCTGATGACGACTCTGACTCTGTGGACATTGAGATTTCCATTGCTGAGGCTAAGCCCTCTAGCACTGCTGAAGCCGAGCCTACCACCTCCGAGGAAGTCGTTGTCAGCACCACTGCTGAACCTACCACTTCTGCCGCCCCTACTACCTCCGCTGCCCCTACTACTTCTGCTGAGCCCACCACCAGCAGCGTACCTGAGACTACCTCTACTCCTGTAGAGACTACTACTGAGCAGGCCACTTCCACTACTGAGTCCTCTACTTCTGAGGAGCCTACTTCTACCACTTTCACCTCCGCTTCCAAGTCCAAGACAACCAAGTCCTCTACCAGAAAGGTCTACCCTACTGTCAAGCCAGGTATCTTCCGTGAGAACGGAACAAGCACCACCGACACCAAGTCCGAGACCGAGACCGAGACCGAAATCAAGGAGACTGCTGCTGCTACTGAGGTGGACTCCGGTGCTGCTCCCTCCGAGACCAAGGACAGTGGAGCTGGTCGTGACCAGGGCAATGCTGCTCTTGCTGGCCTCGTCGTTGCTTTCATCGCCGCCGCCTGTTTCTTCTAATCTATGTCCCCTTTGACGACCATTCACCACTGTCTCACCGCAGTTGGTTTTCACTTCACAGACTCTATTTACCACATACATTCCTTTATCATTGGTACTCTACATATATTATCAAGCCATATTTCTATCGGCGATAGTGTCTATTACCCCTTAACTATACGACTCAGCAGTCATATGGCTGTTGGGTCAGTTGGTTGACGATACCCGCCCCGGGTATTAATATTCTCAGGAGTCTTATTGGCTCTTTGGCCCGTGGGCATTATATATAAGTTCAACGCTTCTTTTCACGGTCGATATACCCTTTTTGCAATCATTGGAGACATTGGATATTCTTTGGAGGGGCAAGCGATGGTTTTCTTTTTTAGCTTATTAACGACGTATGCACACTATGAACAGAGAGTATGGTTTGGAGCTTGAGTATGTCGGGTGGTTAGGAGAGAAGAGAATATACGGGGACGGCTAGTTGATGGGATGATACTCTGGTCATCTCTAATAAAATGAAAATAATCTTGATTAGATATTTAATGGTGTGATGTACGTTATCGCACTCAGTATTGCAAATAAAATGTGTCTAATCATGATTGATTGCTCGAGCAAAACGTCCATTCTCTTAATTCAGCCAAGTTGCTATCTAATCTCTTTGTCCACTGGGTATCACAGTAAATGATCTTATACAGACGCCACCAAGATGGCTTTGTACTCCTTTATATATCCAACACGAGTTCTTTTTGTATGTCATCCTACTTGACCCATCCGGGTACATCATCAGGGTCGTAATCCTCATATCTCCTATCACGAACTGTCTGCCACACATTGGGCCAGCCAGCAAGCACAGGGCTTCCCTTGGCCTTAGCGCCAATGATAGCAAATCGTCCTGATCCATGAGCAATGAAACCGTGCATCGAACCCTGCTGCACGAGCGTCGCGACTGTCATCTCCACGTCTTCGGACGTGACCTCTGCGTTGCCCCATATCATACCCTCGTTGGGCCGGAGAGATTTGGGGCCACCAGGTGGCGGAACTAGCGTGGAGTCACCTTCTGGGTTTTGAGCATTGTTCTCAAGAGCTCTCATCAGAAGAGGGTTGACGTTTTGAGATCGGTTGAGACCGTTGGGTCCTGCTGGTACCCAGCCTTCCAGACGGCGTTGAGTGTATGTGGCGACTGCGTGAAGGTCTGCTAGGTCGAGAGTTGCTGCTTTGCGTGATGATGCGTCTGTTGGTGGGACGTATGTGAGAAGAAAAGTCTTTCGACTCAATGAGCGCCAGAGAAGTGGTCGTAGACGGTTGCTCAATGTCAACAAAAGACCTTTTTCGAAAAGCCAATCCTCATGTTGTGCTAGGTGATGTTGAAACTGGATAAAGTTGCCAGATCGAATAGCCTGGCAGATGGGAAAGAAGACTGGTGCCAGACCCTGACATTCTTGGCGCTGGAGCAACACCTGAGATGGAAAGCGTCCTAATAGCATGTTGCAGGGGATCAGATATGTGAGGATGTTGGTTCGGTGTGAAATCAATTGCGATGGAGTCTGAAGGTATGCTTGTTCGAGACATAACGCAGCCCGGAGGTAGTGATTGTTAGAGAAGTTAAAGCGGCCTAGATAGTATAGAAAGGTAACGCGCTGGGCAGCTGGATAGAGTGACAGAGGCGGAGAGATGGTAGAAATGTTGACAAAGATCATCTTTGCAAGATGTGTTCTCCGGCACTATCATCGTGTTAGCTTCATTCCATATAACATATAAGGGCCATATCATACCGCAAAGAGAAGTTTGAGGACAAGGTTAGCAAACATGTAAACGCCAACCTTCTTGCCTTCAGGTTTATCGTAACGACCGCTAGATCGGTCTGTTAAACAAGTAGTGAAGATCTTTTGAATAATCTCTGCTGAGGACTCGGCAATAGTCTTGTCTTCGTCGACGGCACGTAGACGACGCGCCAACTCGGGCTGTCTGTTGAGAGACATTGTGAGACGGGCAAGAGTTTCCGACAAGGACATGCTCGTCTTAAGAAGCATGGCTCCGTATGTAGGATGAGCAAAAGCCGTAGAACATGAGCTATATATCCCAATTAGCGATGGTTCTTTATGTGATGGGATAGGTTCGTACTTGACAAGACCACTCAACAACTGATGCGCGCCCAACAAATCATCATAATTCACGTCGCGCCAAAAGGCCATGTAGTCTTTCATAAAGGCGACAAAGCCGGGCCACACGGTCGCTTGACCCTCCGGCACGTCATCTTCTTGAGGTAGCGATTTCTCAATGACATTGTCGAGACCTTGTTGGCGGAATTGAGAGCGTAGTTCGGCTGCGAGGTTGTGGTATTGTTGTGGTGAGTTGGGCTCTACCTGGAGCCATGCACGGAGCTCGTCGCCATTTTGAGAGCGGATGAAATTACGGATTTGGGTGAGGAAGTCGAGAACTAGAGGCATTGCGGAGGGTTTAGGTGTTGTGAGGATGATGAGTTAGAGTGAGAGGGTGAAAGTGAAGGTCAATGGAGGTGAGCTTGGATTGAAAAGGTATTGGCTCCACTGTCTGGTGTTCTTGAGCAATGCTGGCACGGCCGTTTACAGTGCACCTTATAAGAGGCCAGAACACTATAACAAACAATCGGATTCGCTTTCTATTCAATTTTACATGTGTCGGGTTTTATAAAATTCAAACTCGAGACTGTTGTTCAAAGCACGGCATGCTTTTGTACGACTGTCCTGATAAGTAAGTAGGCAGGTAGTCGTAGTCAAGTTGCTTTGGGCGACTTGGACTGAGATGAGGTGGTCAAGATTTGGCCATTATGGAAGAGTTCGGCCTTCTTGTTGAAACATTGAAGACTAAGAAATCCCATAGACGAGACTGTAATTCATACATAACACAATGGCAACTCATGTGGCATCGGCTTTGTTGTTCAATTCGTCTTACCCTGCACTCCCCAATCATTCATTCCGGGCTGGTAAAGATTTGGTACGGATGAATGACAGCCTTCACTTAATAAAGCACAAGAGAGTTTCTTAATTATTCAATTTTTGACTATTTTTTGTTATACTATAATATCATAAATAGCATCGCTCATCATATCTATCCATTGTATTTTTAAACAGACTCAACACGCTGCACAACAAGAGCAGTCGCAGCGCCACCACCGTTGCAGATAGCAGCAACACCATACTCACCAGGCTTAAGCTGGTGTAGAAGGGTGGTAAGGATCCTTGAACCAGAGCTACCGAGAGCATGGCCCAGTGAGATGGCACCTCCCAGAGGGTTAACCTTGGCATTCTCAAGACCCAGGATCTTGGCGTTGGCGAGAATAACGCTGGCAAACGCCTCGTTGAACTCCCAGATAGCAACCTGGTCCTTGGTAATGCCAGCACGCTCGAGAGCGATGGGGACAGCCTTGGCGGGTGCAACAGGGAAGTCAATGGGTGCAGTAGCAGCATCGGCGTAACCACAGATCTTGGCCAGAACTCGAGAGCCGGAACCATATTGCTGGGCAATGGCCTTGCTTCCTAGAACGAGAGCGCTAGCACCATCGTTAAGAGTAGAGGAGTTGGCAGCAGTAACAGTGCCGCTTCCGTCGCGAACGAAAGCGGGCTTCAGCGTGGGGACCTTGTCGAACTTGACATCCTTGAAGCCCTCATCAGTGTCGATAACAGTCTCGCCCTTGCGCGACTTGACAGTAACGGGCGCAATCTCATCAGCAAAGGCCTTCTCCTCCCAAGCCTTTTGCGCATTGCGGTATGACTGAATGGCGTACTCGTCTTGCTGCTCTCGGGTGAGGTTGTGGTTCTTGACTGTGTTCTCGGCGCAGTTGCCCATGTGGAATTGGTCGTAGACATCGGTCAACCCGTCCTTGATAAGACCATCCTCCATCTTGACATGGCCAAAGGCAGGAAGACCGCTGGCGCGTGACACGTAGTATGGGACCTGTGACATGTTCTCCATTCCACCAGCGATCTGAGCCTCAGAAAGACCCATCTGGATGTTCTGAGCAGCCAAAGTAACAGCCTTCAGTCCAGATGCGCAGACCTTGTTAATAGTTGTCGCCTCGATCGACTGGGGCAGACCAGCAAAGATGGCAGCCTGTCGAGCAGGCGCTTGGCCGACATTGCCCTGGAGCACGTTGCCCATGTACACATCGGTGATCTTCTCGACGGGGACCTTTGACTTTTCCAGAGCGGACTTGATAGCAACAGCGCCGAGCTTGGGAGCTGATACTGACAAGAAGGAGCCGTTGAACTAGGAATTAGTTAGTAGGCTGCCATAGAGCCAGTTGTTTAGTGACAGGTCTTACCTTTGCGGTAGGAGTTCGGGCAGCGCTCAGAATGTAAGCGTCCTGAATCTCCTTGCGCAGGGCAGGTCGTGTAGAGAACTGTCGCGCGCCATTCACATGTCCAGCAAGCTGGGCCAGCCGGCCAGCGGATCTAAGTTGTGTAACAGGCATTTTCGAGAGATATGAGGGTATCACGATGCAACAGGAAAGACAGAAAAAAAGAATAATAATTCAGGAATGGGAAAGAGGAAGGAAAAGACAAATTGTCTGTATTAGTAGCACGGGTATATAATAAGACGACCTCGGGTATCGTAATCTACGGTCCTCTTCGGCTTTCAGCGGGGGAGGGCGCCCGAGGTGGCGGGAAGAAGCTCTCCCGTGCCGAACCCCAAACAATCCGGGGCACCGCAAAGTGACGTCGATAGAATTAATAGGTCCAGATGTACAAACATTTACCACAGCTTTGCAGTATAAATAAAAGTATCATCCACGAACGGTCAAGGTCAATCTTCTACCGTGTCCATCAGTTGCTTCGCGTCGAGCAAACAATCTCGCTTCAGCGCTCCGCTTGTCTCGGAATTAAATATCATTCCGAGAGACGGATCTCTTATAAAGAAGAGAGCGGTCTTCGTCCCCCGCGTCCATGTGAAAGTCCCGGAGCTAAAGGAACGGCTTTCAAGATGAGCCTCTGCAGGATAGTCACTCACGTGATCATGTAGAGCTGACAACGGCAAGTGGGGTACTGCCAAGCGCTGATAGGCCTGAATCAGTGCCACTTCTAATTGGCAGATTGCCACCGAACTTACGGATCCCTTCTGCTTCCCTGTGGAATCATTCAACCCAGTGCCTGTCCTATCGATGACCAATCTCCATCTCCGCTCATCACTGCATTGCACTACACATTGCACCGCTACATCCATCGTTCCCTAGAGACAGCGAATCCTGCATATTCACTGAAGGATCACCATCAGGGTCGCAGCTTCGCTTTTTCTACCTAACATCATCCTCCAAACCCTCGTCTCTACTTTCGCCTTCTCGCCTATCCGCCATCATGTCTACCGCTGCTCGTCGTCGTCTTATGCGAGACTTCAAGGTACGATGCGCTTCTGCAAGCATTTTCAAAAGCTTATCTTGCTAACTTTGATGGTAGCGCATGCAGACTGACCCTCCCGCTGGTGTTTCTGCTTCCCCGGTACCTGACAATGTCATGACCTGGTACGATCGCTTCCTTTGGTTTCGCCGCCTTCAAATACTTATCGAATATGTTATAGGAATGCTGTTATTATCGGCCCCGCAGACACCCCATTCGAAGACGGCACCTTTCGACTGGTGATGCAGTTCGAAGAGCAATATCCAAACAAGCCACCCCAAGTCAAATTCATCAGCGAGATGTTCCACCCAAACGTTTACGCCACTGGAGAACTGTGCCTGGACATTCTGCAAAACCGATGGAGTCCTACCTACGATGTCGCCGCTGTCTTGACCAGTATTCAAAGGTGAGGAGAAATAGCACAAGAGGGCCGTGCTTAAGCTGACCATGTCTAGTTTGCTCAACGATCCCAACACTGGCTCGCCTGCGAACGTCGAAGCGTCCAACTTATATAAGGACAACAGGAAGGAGTACACCAAGCGGGTTAGGGAGACCGTCGAGAAGAGCTGGGAGGACTGAGAAACGACCGGCACCCTTCAAGGACAGAGAACGGTATGCCAACGTCGATTTGTCCAGATATATGAATCAGGGTACTCAGTTTGCTCTGTATGTTGGAGCGCCCCCGCCCAGGGCGCAAGCATGTATGTAAATGGCGTTTGGGTGCGTTGGAGTTGGACTGAACTGCATTCGAGGCGTTGCGAGCGTCCAGGAAGTCCCCAAGAACGTTAGCTTATGATATCACGAGGGTTCATCATATATGAAGAGGAGTTTTATGTTTCTTGTAATGCTCGTGTCTCACTGTGTATCCATCTGGTATCTTGGTCTGGGTTGGAATGACTCAGACAGGTGTGAATTGTGTCTTGGTGATAAGAAGCAGGAATGTTGGCATTTGTTTGTCATTTCCATTTTAAATGAACTTTATGCGGCTCTTCCATGAATTCCATTGTCCTTGAATCACTAATATGCGCTACCTCGAAGCATTGTGATACTGATGACTGTCAATTCATGCGTTGGAAATCAGTAAAGATCGACCTTTGGTCATTTACCATAATAGGCAGTGTGTTGACTACTTGCCTACTAACAATTCCAATTCGTCCCTCATGAACCCCTCCACACAGCAACCCGACAATCCCAAACCCCCGGCACTTCTCCAAATTACTTTCGAGTCCATCAAAGACGGACCGGACCCATGGAACGGTCATGAACAGCACGGGACCTTGAATCTAACGTTCAAGGCCATAGAGGCCTAAATCTAAATCTCTAAGGGTTAGGTCCCCTAAATTACAGGTCGGACCCCCCCTGAGTAGCCCTGACACCTGAGTCCCCTCCCCGTTTCGGCCCCTCTTGGCGCGCGTCTTGCAAAGCTTCGGACCTATCACCTTCTCCAAAACCCACCGCCTCTGGTTGCCAACAACAAGACGTTGGGTTAGGCTGTTGATTTGTTGTTACTTGTTACCATATCGCATCGTCGATACAGTATCCGTACATCCATCCATCGACTCATGCAATTTGTTGTTGATTGCACGACAGACAAATCACACTTATCTTAACAACTGTATCGTGCATTTTAACCCCCCGTCCGTCCTGCAGCGAAACCCTGTACTCTTGGCCTGGGGCCTCTCGATCTGCGACTTTTCTGGCTCTCTTCAGACATCCACAGTCACTAGACGACCACACTAAACCTCACCTCTCTTTGTTTCGAGGTCGTCGTCTTCCCCCTCCTCTCGCCGCCATTTTGTGGCTCGTTGCAGCAAATCCACGGCCCGCATCTTCTGCGACCCCCCTCACAACCCCTGAAGGGTTCGCTTCAACGCAACCAACGATCGAGCCCGACTTTTTTCTCCCAAGGACGACAGCGCCGCGGCCCATGATAACGTCTGTTGCGTGACACATAGCCTGCGTTCAATATGTCGTCCGCAAATGGTATCAAGGTTGTCGCCAGGTTTCGACCTCAGAACAAGGTCGAGCTTGCGTCGGGCGGAACGCCCATCGTCAGTTTCGATGGCGACGAAACCTGTGTCCTCGACGTATGTTGTCCATTTGCGTTGCTGGAGGAAGCAACATACGGTGAGACTTCATGGCTAACGTATTCGACAGTCCAAGGAGGCGCAAGGTAGCTTCACCTTTGACCGAGTCTTTGATATGGGATGTAAACAACAAGATATTTTCGACTACTCAATTCGATCCACCGTCGACGATATTCTCAATGGATACAACGGTACCGTTTTCGCTTACGGCCAGACCGGTGCCGGTAAGTCTTATACCATGATGGGCACCAACATCGACGACGACGAAGGCCGAGGTGTTATTCCCCGTATTATCGAGCAAATCTTTGCCAGCATTATGTCAAGTCCCGGCACTATCGAGTACACCGTTCGAGTCAGTTATATGGAAATCTACATGGAGAGGATTCGAGATTTGCTTCAGCCGCAGAACGATAACCTGCCTGTCCACGAAGAGAAGAACCGCGGTGTCTACGTCAAGGGTCTTTTGGAAATCTACGTCTCTAGTGTCCAGGAAGTGTACGAAGTCATGAGGAGAGGAGGAAATGCCCGAGCTGTCGCTGCCACAAACATGAACCAGGAATCTTCACGATCGCACTCCATTTTTGTTGTCACCATTACACAAAAGAACGTCGAAACCGGATCAGCGAAGAGCGGACAACTGTTCCTTGTCGATTTGGCCGGTAGTGAAAAGGTTGGCAAGACCGGTGCCAGTGGACAGACACTCGAGGAAGCCAAAAAGATCAACAAGAGTTTGAGTGCTCTGGGAATGGTCATCAACGCCTTGACCGACGGCAAATCCTCACACGTTCCTTACCGAGACTCCAAGTTGACCCGTATTCTTCAAGAATCTCTCGGTGGTAACAGTCGGACAACTCTTATCATCAACTGTTCCCCCAGTAGTTACAACGATGCCGAAACTTTAAGTACGTTGCGATTTGGTATGCGAGCCAAGTCCATCAAGAACAAGGCCAAGGTCAACGCCGAGCTCAGTCCTGCCGAACTCAAGTCCCTGCTTAAGAAAGCGCAAGGACAAGTCACAAACTTTGAGAGCTACATCTCCAATCTGGAGGGTGAGATTCAACTGTGGCGATCCGGTGAAGCGGTCCCCAAGGAGAAGTGGGCTACGCCGGCCGCTTCTACCGATGTTGTTGCTAGAACCAAGGCTGAGAACAGGACATCTACTCGACCTTCTACTCCTTCATTAATATCAGATAGCCGATCCGAGACTCCTGGGATATCCGAACGTGCGGGCACTCCCAGTCTACCACTGGATAAGGACGAGAGGGAAGAATTCCTACGACGAGAAAATGAACTGCAGGATCAGATCTCAGAGAAGGAGTCTCAAGTTGTTACAGTTGAGAAGCAGCTTCGGGAAACCAAGGAGGAGCTGGTCTACCTCAAGGAACACGACAGCAAAGTTGGCAAGGAGAATGAGAAGCTCACAACTGAGGTTAACGAATTCAAGATGCAACTTGAGAGACTCACCTTTGAGAGCAAGGAGGCCCAGATTACTATGGATGCGTTAAAGGAGGCCAACTCGGAGCTTACTACCGAACTCGACGATGTGAAGCAGCAACTTCTTGATGTCAAGATGAGCGCTAAGGAAAGCGGTGCTGCCCTCGACGAGAAGGAGAAGAGGAAGGCCGAGAAGATGGCCAAGATGATGGCCGGCTTTGATCTGGGCGGCGAGGTGTTTAGTGAGAACGAGCGCCATATTGCGGAGACTATCGAGAAGGTTGACTCGCTTCACGAGCTCAGCGCAACTGGCGACAACATCGCGCCCGATGAGTTTAAGGCACTCCGGGCCCGCCTGGTGGAGACACAAGGTATTGTTCGACAAGCCGAGCTGTCCATGTACAGCACCACCTCTAGCGATGCCGACTCAAGAAGGCGACAAGAACTCGAGACTCGTCTCGAGGCCGTCCAGGCCGAGTACGAGGAGATCCTCACCCGCAACCTCGGTCCCGAGGATGTTGAGGAGGTCAAGGCTCGATTGGAGAATGCCTTTGCCAACCGACAGACTGCCCAGTCCGCATTCGTCGACGAACTCAAGACCGACATTGCTCAAAAGGCGGCTGAGAACACAAGAATGAAGACGCTGATCGACGATCTCCAACAGCGGGTTAAGGCTGGCGCCACCGCGCCAATGGCCAACGGCAAGACGATCCAGCAGCAGATCGCCGAGTTCGACGTCATGAAGAAGAGCCTCATGCGCGATCTCCAGAACCGATGCGAACGTGTCGTGGAGCTTGAGATCTCTCTGGACGAGACACGAGAGCAGTATAACAACGTGCTCCGATCGTCAAACAACAGGGCGCAGCAAAAGAAGATGGCGTTCCTCGAGAGGAACCTGGAGCAACTCACTCAGGTTCAGCGCCAGCTGGTCGAGCAGAACTCGGCTCTCAAGAAGGAGGTCGCCATCGCTGAGCGCAAGCTCATCGCTCGAAACGAGCGTATCCAGAGCCTGGAGAGCCTGCTACAGGATAGCCAGGAGAAGATGGCTGCTGCGAACCACAAGTACGTATATCCGATGAATTTCCGTTTTATGAACCTTGCTAATAAAACGCCTAGGTTTGAGGTTCAGCTTGCCGCTGTCAAGGAGCGTCTCGAGTTGGCCAAGGCTGGCAGCACTCGTGGTCTTAACTCGCCGGGCGGCTTTAGCTTCGCCAACGCTGGCAGCAGGATCGCCAAGCCTCTTCGAGGAGGCGGTGGTAGCAACGACGCTGCCCCCAGCATTCCTACGATCCAGAACCTCCAGGGCCAGAACGAGGGCAACACCAGCAGCGGTAGCAGCAGCAAGCGCGCCAGCTGGTTCTTCACCAAGTCATAGACGTAATGAGGGAAAGATAAATAAAGAAAAAAGAGCTCGCTGCTTTTTTGCTTTTGGGCACGGCGTTGCGAGCAGATTCTGTTAGACACACCACATTCACGCACCCTACCGTTCATACCCCTTTCCCTTTTTTCCATTCGACGATCGCCAACACCCTGTTCAACAAAGCTCTCCACACATTTGTTTCTCCCATGCTGTTGCTTTCTAACTTTGTCCCCGATTTCTGTTTTGTTTCTGATTCTATAAGAAGGCGATAGAGGATGGGGGCGGCTACGATGATTTGGATTTACGACAGGCATCGCGATGGGTTCACCATGACTGGGACGGGATGGGTCGTTATAGGGATGGAGCATTGGGCGCGAAGAGATGAGTTGAAAGCCGGCTGCAGTGGAGGAAACTTGCATATATATAGTCTTGTCACGACCACGTAGTTAAGGCACGAAGTTCAAGAAAGTCAATGAATTGAGGTTCTAACAATCTATATTTGATCTCACATGTATAAAAAGAAAAGGCTGAATAACAGAGGGGGATATCTTGAGGGAATCCTTGACAGGTTGTTCTAGCTATGATACCTGACTAGGTAGAACTATAGGGAAATATTCAAAACGGTTTCGTCATTTGAGGTGTTACAATGCTGAACTTTTAGATCTTGATGTCGCCGTTGCCAGGGCCATCTCCGTTGGTACCGCTCAAGGTAGCCAGGAGGATAATCTGAGGAATAATGACAACCATCAGGCCAAAGACGGCAGCAATAGTGATAGCGACAACCTTGAGCTCGAGCTTAACAATACGGTACCAAGCAGACTTGGAGAAGCTGGACCAGGCGTCACGAACGGTGGCATAGCCTCGACCACCGACAACAACAGGCTCGATGCGGCCGTTGAAAGAGCGATCAAAAGGAACGATAGTGTCAGCCTCGGCGGGGAGGAGAGAGGCCTGGACACGGACGAGAACAACGTAGGCAGGAATCTGGACAGCGATCTGGAGGAAGATAGCCAAGAGCATAATGCCGCAAACGCCGCTCTCGTTGCCATCGAACTTGGGAACCTCCTGACCATCCTTATCCAAAGCGTACAGCGTGCCGAGGCCGCTGAGAGTGACGATCTGAGAAGCGGCCCAGAAGATAACGGTAGGCCTCCAGGTGGCGAGGAAGGTGGTCTTGAAAGAAGGAATTCGCTGGTACCATCGAAGCTGAGACTCGGGAGTGATGACGATGTGGACCCAGGCGGTGCGGAGCTGGACGCAGATGAGAGAGCTGATCAGGTGGGCGATGACAAAGGAGTAAGGAGTGACGTGGTAGAGACCGCCGTTGATAAGTCCGAGACAGAAAGTTTGGATAATGTGCATCCAGATACCGCGGTACATGGCACGGAAGCCACCAGTGGATCGAAGAAGGCCGAAAGTAGCGCGGAAAGACGAAGTAACGGGCTTGCCCTGGCCAGCGGTGGGAGCGACAGGAACATCGGGAGAATTAACGGGCTTTGTCATGTCGTCGTTGGCGATAGACTCGACAGGGAGAGGAGCGTAAGCGGGAGGCTTCTCATCTTCGACGATGGCGAGAACAGGAAAGACCTTTTCGAAAGTGTATTGGCACTGGACAATGTTAGCAAAAGATAACGGTTAAACGATTATAGCGAAACTTACAAGAACCATAACAGGGATAAAGAGGATAAAGTTAGCCATAAAGACAAAGAAAGACCACTCAGGAAGCTGGTTGAGCTCATGGCCGAGGTCAGGCTTTGGCACGTTATCGCGCCGCATGAGCGACGACATTGCCGTTTCGGAAAACATGATGAACTCTGATTTTGATGAAAGGAAAAAAGAGGTAATGAAAATGAAGATGGTTATCCTCACGTTGAACGTTGATGAAGGAAGAGGAATGGTGAAAGATGAGGTGCTGGGGAGGGTTCTTTAAGTCCCCATGGTCAGCTGCGTTTACTGGCTGAAACGTAAAGCTAATTTAGGCAGTGACAGGGCGGCTCTGGGGGGCGAAAGATGATGCACAGCCCCTGTTTGTTGATCTACAATTGGAGTCCAAATGATGTAACAATATCTATGTACCGTCAAAATTACGATAGACCAATCTACTATGTCGCAAATATATCTAAAACATATAAAACATTTTATTTAATCTCAGTTTAAATGCAAGCTCAACATTACATCTAAATCTAGGTGTTCTCTGCATCGTATTCGGGTTCAAAGTATCCGGTGGTTACCGGATTGGGAAATATAGGACTTCTCCCTACGGATACCTATCCGTATACTTCTCACAGGATACACGTAATCACCAAACCTCCTCAAAACTGCCAGCCTTTACAACCGAGCGGTAAAAAAAGAAAGAAAAAAA